GTATCACTTGTTATTTCCCCTAGGAGTCATTTCGAAAAGTTGCACATTTTTTTAATAAGAAGTTCAAGAGTTAATATTTTTTGTTTTTAAATATTAAGAGGTCATCCATAAAGTACGTACGCTCATAGGGGGGAGGGAAGGTCTTCAAAAAGCGTACGAAAGTGTATAGGGCAAGGGGGGAGGGTTCAATTTAAAAGTACGTACTTCAATTTTCTAGTTTTACACAATTAACCAGCTAGTCAATAGAAAAGTTAAAATTCTGACTAAAGATCTTAGTTTGCCAACATAAAAAGACATATTGCATAGGGAGTAGAAGGTATAGTTTCTATCTATGCACACACATGCATGGGCGCCCACAGGATTTTTTGATGTTCCAGATAAACCACTTCCACACATTGTGCAAACTCCAAACTTAAGTATGTTTATACCTATGTCATTTGAAGAGGCCTTGCAAAAAATTGTTATGGCGGTAGCCTGGGAACAAAAAATCCTGCAGGCGCCCATGCCACCCCTTAACTACTGGCCCTGAGTATACTCAGGGCCAGTATATAAGGGGTGGCATGTGTGCATGCATGTGCAAAAAATAGGTTGGCTTATAGGTTATGCTCCCCCATAACACCCCGCTTCCTCTAATTACGGGGTATGGGTAGCCTACACTTATACTGGGTTTTCAATATTACTCTTATTGCTTTTTACGGACTTACTAAAGAGGGGTGCCGAAAAAAAACGTCTGCCTTAAGTATAGTTTATTTTTATTTGATGAGTCTCATTTTCTTTAAGAATTTTATCAATCTTTATTGAAAACTTTGTTCAATTTTTCTTTACAATTATAGAAATAATTTTATCTTACAAATGAAAAATAATCTGTATCATGTCACATAATATTTCAATTTCGAGAAAAAAGTTGTCTGGGTATGAATACAGAAAAAGAAAGTCCAAAAAAGATCAAAAATTTGAAAAAATTAAAAAATTCATGAGCATTAACAAATTTGTTGCTTATAAAAAACCTGACGAAGGTCGTGAAGATTTAAATTCTTAATTTATAGCAGCAGTGGCGTAGTAGTTAAAACCAAGAGATTCCAGGTTCAACGCCAACAAGCGACATGGTACGGTTGGAGGCGTGAACTTCTTGTTAAATGTTCTCCCGCGGTGCTCTATGATAAGACCTTAAGGACTTCTGGGAGCACCTAAAATAACTATAAAAAAAAAAAAAAAAAAAAAATTCTGATGCTTCAACTATCTCTACGATTATTTCTAATAATGTTGGAGAACTTTCAACAATACTCAAAAATAATTGTATTACTTCATTGGATATCAAAGTAGATAATGAACCAGTTTTAAAAGAATCAAATGATTTATCGGAAGATTTTGTACAAGAAACATCTAATTTATTGGATTTTGGAAAGTGACCAATTGTTCGATCAAACAACATTATGGACCATTTAATTAAACTTGGTCCTTTTCAAATTACAAAGGAAAATACCCTGAAGATAGAAACGGTCGACATTTTTCAAGCATTTATTACTAAAAAAAAACTTGTAAATGGAGAAACCTTTTGCCGTAGATGGTTGGTTTAATCAGATTCTAAAAACTCCGTATTTTGTTTTTGCTGTCTACTTTTTAATAATAATTCAAATTAAAACTTAGTCTCTGATGAGTTCAATAAATGAAAACATTTAACTGAAACATTGTGAATTCATGAAAATAGCGACTTCCATATGAAATGTTATCAACAGTGGGTGGAAACTGAAATAAGATTAAAAACTGGAAAAACTATAGATTATGAAGAACTTAAGTTATAGAAAAAGACAGTTTGCGATGGCAAAATGTTCTTCTTCGCTTGATAAATGTCACTATTTACTTAGCTGAAAATAATATGGTTTTTTGATGGCGTTCAGATAAACAAGTTTACAACTCAAAGCGGCAAATTCTTTAGACAGATACTTGCAAAATTTGATCCTGTGATGCAAAAACATTTAGCACTTGCAATAAAAGGTGGCACTTCAGATCATTACTGCGGGAAAAATATTCAAAATGAGTTAATAGATTTAATGTCTCAAAAGGTTAATGGTGAAGTAATAAACCGAGTCTTGAGAGCCGTTTACTATTCAATCACTGCTGATTGTACACCTGATATTTCTAGAAAAGAATAACTTTAATTATAATTCGAATTGTTGACTTATTATTATTATTTTTTTTTAAGTTGATTAAGGTGCCCCAAGAAGTCCTTACGGTCTTATCACAGAGCACCGCGGATGAGCATTTAATAGGAAGTTCACGCCTCCTTCCCAACCGATGTTGCAAAACTTGCCCAGAGGTGGGGTTTGAACCAGGGATCTTACGTTTCTGAGGCAAGTGCGCTACCACTGCGCCACGGCTGCTTATCAGATATTAGAGTAGAAATTAAAGGCTGCTTATCAGATGTTAGAGTAGAAATTAAAGAGTACTTTTTAGGATTTTTTTTTTAAGTTGATTTAGGTGCCCCAAGAAGTCCTTACGGTCTTATCACAGAGCACCGCGGAAGAGCATTTAATAGGAAGTTCACGCCTCCTTCCCAACCGGTGTCATAAAACTTGCCCAGAGGTGGGGTTTGAACCACGGATCTTACGTTTCTGAGGCAAGTGCGCTACCACTGCGCCACGGCTGCTTTTAAGCTTGAAAAAGCTTATTTTTTAAGGTTTTTTCTGTTTCTGATTCTACACGCTTAGGACTTTCTTAAGTTTTAATCGAATAGCTAACTAAACGTGGACTTGAAATCTCTAAATGTAGAGGTAAAGGGTATGATTATGGATCGAATATGAAAGGAAAGATTAATGTGGTACAAAAAAGGATTTTAAATCTTAACCCTTTAACGTTATATGTTCCCCGCGGCGGTTTAAATTTGGTAATAAGTGACTCTGCACGTTGGTAATAAATGACTCTGCGGCAGTTTAAATTTGGTAATAAGTGACTCTGCACGGTCTTCAGTAAAACCTATAACTTTATTTGGTTTTCTCCAGAGATTGTTCACTCTATTCTTAGCATCAGTGAGTCGATGGTAAAAATATTAATTGATCACGTTAAAATATTGCATTTAAAGAAACCCTGTGACACGCGGCGGGAAGCAAAAATAAGTAGTGTCAGAGCCGTTCGCTATCAAGTTGGTAATATACATGATGCTTTGATAGCATTGTCAGATATTGAAGGATGTGAACCTGAAACTGCACATGAAGCGATAACCCTAGCAGAGCAATTAAAAGATTTTAGCTTTCTTGTCTCTTTAATTGTCTAGTATGACGTTCTTTTTCAAGTCAATATTGTTAGTAAAACTCTTCAAGAGAAAGACATGGACATCTTTCAATATGCAAAATTAGTAAAAAGCTGATGCTCATTTTTAGAAAACTATGGAAAATGTGGTTTTAATGATGCAATTATAAAAGCAAAGGATTTGGCCGCAGAATTACAGGTGGAGCCTGTTTTTAAATCACTTAAAAAAAATAATACGAGTAAAACACCATTTTGACGAACCAGCCTAAGATGGGATTTATTCATTTTCTACTGAAAAAATTAGAAATCAATTTCTTCAATCCTCTTTTAGACACATCTCTAATTTCAATGAGAGAAAGATTTATACAGTTGCAGAACTATTTAGAAGTTTGCGGTTTTTTGTATAATGTCGATAGTTTGCAAAAAAGAGATATTCTAAAATCATGTTTAGCTTTTCAAAGTAAACTTATTGTAAATCTAAAATCGAACATTAATGGTATTTTTCTTTGCGATGAAGTGACGATGAACCTTTTCTTTCTGAAATGGTCAAGGATAAAATTACTCCTATTATTGTTTTTAAACTTTATAAAACAGCGAAAAATGCAAGATTTGTATCCAAACACATGGATTGCAATGCAAATTTTGCTAACAATACCTGTCATTGTAGCGAGTGGAAAAAAGAAGCTTTTTCAAAATGAAACTTATAAAAACCTATTTGCGGTCAACAATGTCGAAGGAATGACTTTTAAGTTTAGAAACCCTATTGATTGAAAACGGTATTGCTGAAAATCTTGATTCTTCTACGCTAATTAAAGATTTTGATGATAAAAAGGCCTGAAAAATTATTTTTTAAAATTAAATGTATTTTGTATAAAACTTAAGCAGAAAACATTTCTTTGTATGTAGCATTTCATTGCAAAGTATTATTTTTGAATTCGATTTGTTATTATTTTCCGTGTAATTAATCAGCAAAATTTATAAATTGTCAGGGGCGGCAGAAAAAATTTCGCCTACTATCGCCCTGATTTCGGCTGGCTTCAAAACAAAGTAATAATCAAGCAAGTAAAAGAAAAAAATTATACAAATATTTGATTTTCTGGTTGTAGTAGAAAAAATACTTATATTTTTAAAAAAACAACAAAAAACGCTTCGCATTTCTTAAAAAGAAATGCAATGTCGTCATATACCGGAACTTTTATGAATTAAACACGCATGGAATAAATTATCAATTCTGCAGATTGCGGCTAACATTATACAGACTGCGAGAACCAATAAAAAATGGAGACGGCGAGCTTCGACTAAAACGTGAAAATTTATGGTGTGCATTTATTGTTTAGTTTTAATCAAAAAAATTTAGCCAAATGTTTTTTTTAAACATTATCTTAAATATGAACACAACTTGTTTCGGCACTTGGGGATCCCTTTAAAAACAATTCTTTTATTCATAAGATCATACCTTAAAGATCGAAATGTTGAAATAATTAATTACTTTAAAAAGATTTAATAGCTCTTATTCTCGGCTTTTTTACACTTATCACTACTTTGATATTTTTAATTTGCTCTACATTTTATATTTTTAAATAAAACATATTTTATACCAACCATACCACGATAAAAAGTAGTGTTACCGTGGTCCCCGCCACTCTCTATCAAACCTTTAAAATCGTTACTAAAATATATATCAACCAATATCATAAATAATTCACAAAAAAAAATTCTATTTAACTCTAAATATGCTACTGAACGTTTCTTACCTTTTTATCTTTCTTTGCAAAGTTGTTTTTAAATATTTAACTTGAAATTTTGAATGTAGAAAAATGATAAATGTTTTATAAGTGAAAAATTCACAAGTAAATACATTTTTGTTAATCTCGAAGGTTACACGAGTAAAACTAGGAAAAAATGTAGATTTAAGATGAAAAAATAATATCAAAGATAACGAACGTTTTGAAACATATAGAGAATCAAACACTATACCATCAGTGATAATTAACTCAAAAAATAATTAAATATTTTCTTTTCGTAGCATAACATAATGCTTCACTGCTAATTTGCAAAAAAAAAAAAAAAAAAAAAATTATTTGAAATTCCAATTGTTTTCTTTTAAAAATAATTTAAAAGAGTTTTCGCAATAAATTCACCGTATAACACACAAATTAAAATAACAGAAATAACATAGGACTCTATATAAACTAACTTAAAGATTTTTCTTAATTTAACGACATAAAATTTACAAGAATATGTAAAAAAAATTATATATCTAAAAAAAATCTTATCAGTGAAAAATAAAAATCAAGCTATAAACCACTTGATAATTTTGGATTACCACAAAAGACAAGGAAAGCAGATAAAATATATTATTTACATACGATGCTTTGCTATGAAACTTTTTTGATGTCAATAATAATAAATAATTTGATGTTTTAAAATTGATATTCATTTTAATATTCACAAAAAAATTCTATTGTTAACACGGTTAGATAGAGATATAGAGTAATGGTAACAAAATCATGATTGCAATTATTAAAATAGATTTAAAGAAAAGGAAAAAAAAAAAAAAAACGAAAAAAAGTTTAACATTAAACTTACAAAGTTAAAAAAAAAAAAAAAGAGAAGAAAAAAGAAAAAAAGAAATTAAAACTTTATTGCTATCTAAAAATTGTAAAAATGTACAAAATGCAGCTCGATTTTTAACTACGTTGATTTACCATTTTTATTAATTCCATACACTAAACCAATTTTGTAAAAGAGTTTGCGAATAACAGATCGCAATTCTTTTTTTAGTTCAAAGTTAAAAAGGTCGCAAAGGTGAGCGTAGTACCATGTAACGTGACGCACAAACTAAAAATAAAGCAAAAATTGTTTACCAGTAATGTAGTAATTTTGATAAAAAAAATAATTGTAAAACAAAAGATAAATTAAAGTTAGCATGCTTAAGCTAAGACCAAATTGAAGTTAGCATTCTTAGACTAAGACCAAAAAAAGAACCTCATGCCAAATTTCTAATTATTTATAATAATCATAGGTTTTGTAGAAACCAACCATAGTACTCATATTCGAGACAACGTATTGTAAACTAAGAATACTACTCATTTTCGAGACAAGTCTTAGTCAGACTTGACTTGAGCTAAGTCTAGTAAGTTTACTTATCGAACTCCAATTCCGACTGTGTCCTTCACGACTGCAAACGTGAAAAAAACTTTTTTATTACAAAACAGCCTGCCCAAAGCCTAAGTTGATATATGTATTGCTCCAATAACTAAATAAATCAGTTGATGTATGTACATTCTCTATAAATCCCAGTTTGCAAACGTGAAGGATGTGCAAGATCAAAATTGGTATTTGAAAAGTGTTCTGTAAATTCGTAATGAAACTAAACTCACGCGTTCATTTTCAAGTTTCAAAATTTTTGTCAGTATCAGTACAAGAACTGGTGTCCAAGCATCTCGGTGATTGGTTGAGTCTAGTAAAGTAAAATATTCGAATGCTTCCTTTATATAACTAAAAAAAAAAAAGAAAGAAAAAATATATACATACATAATAAAGAAAATAAATAGATTAAGAAAACAAAATAAAGAAACATCACACTACAAATGATAAACTCTAGTACCATTTCAGTTTTTCTTCTACAACACTGCATACATTGGAAAACGAGCTTTCACTGTACATACGAAACAAAATTCGAATTAAGCATGCTAAACTTGTTGTCTCTTGTTTCAAAAGATTAGGACGAGATTGTCCTTTAGTGAAACCTATCCGAAAAAAATATTTAAATACGGTTAACATCAATTTTAAATTTTATGCATTACAACATTTTAGGAAAACGCTAATCAACGGACAATAACGCAAGGAAATCGCAATCGCAATTAATCAAAAAATCAATCGCAAGGAAAATAACCGAAAATAACGAGGAAAGTATTTTTGACGTATGTATTTTGATATGTGTGTATATATATATATGTGTATATATATGTGTGTATATATATATATATATATATATATATATATATATATATATATATATATAGGGGAAATATAACCCCTGACAGCATAGGGTTTATTAATAGTAATGAGAGAATTGCTTGAACTGTTAGATAGTGTACTGAGTATTATCTGTGCTTTGAGTCAAGTTCTTTAAACAAAAAAATGACTGAAAAATGACTAAAATCTAAAACTATAAAACACAAAAAACCATCATCATCACCAAGTTCTCTGAATCTATCATTCACTAAAATTTGTGGTTTTTGAAGCAACTTTTCATCTGTTGAGTCTTATCTCTTGCAAAGTTCACCAAACCTACTTGTTCTTTGTGAGACTAATTTGAGTTCAGCTGTCTCATCTTGTGATCTTAGTGCTGATGATTATTTTCCTTTCATTTGTTAAGACTCCAATACTCACATGCTTAACCTGGGCATTTACATTTGTAAGAATTCACTGATTTGTCTGGAAACTAGGTTTAAATCCATTATTCTTATATATGCTTTCGTTTAGCACAACTTTACTCTATCACCTTTCTCTTTGTTCTATATCACTCTCCTTCATTGAGATAAAGAAGAACGATAAGGAAACTGCACTCTTTTCGATATTATTTCTGATCAAATTGACCAAGGCATTTCTCTTTACCCTTCAGCTAATGACATTGTTGTAGGTGACTTAAGTGCTCATCACACTGAATGGCTTGGTTCTAGTGTCAGTGACTCTACAGGTGTTAAGGCCCACAATTTTTGCCTTTCTCAATCTCTAACTCAAGTAGTCAACTTTCCAACTTGCTTTTCAGACAATTCAAATCATTTACTTTCTCTATTTGACTTATGTCTTGTTTCTGATACTAATCAGTGCTTAGTTTCTCTATATTAACCCTTAGGTGCTTTTGATTAGACACGTGAGCCGCCGCTAGCCGTCATAGAAACTCGATTTATTTAGCCATCTATGAAATTATCCTAGCCAACTATGAAAAAAAGTAGTGATAACAAGCAGCAAAACTAAATAAATAATTAATTATTACATTATTTTATTGTTAAACTATTTTATAAAATCCCATTTTTATATATTTCGTGATGCCGTAAACCTTAAGTAATAATTTTAAAGTGTCATTTGCTGTCTGAAACTAACAGTATGCATTACTATATTATAAAAAGTATCCTACTTTATCAACTTAGAAGGATTGCCAGATAATAGTACTGGGTTGCAAGCAGAAATCAATCTTTATCTTAGCATTCATGATGAATCACCAGCCATTTTGGAAACAGAATGCTAAAAAATTTCCAATTTTAACACCCATAGCAAAGGTATAAACTATTTTTTATCTTCAACTATAATCTAAGACTTGTTACAAAGGAAAAAAACAAAAATAAAATATTATGGCCAAGATAAAAGTATAGAAGATTTTATTTATGGATAATAAATAATGATTATTTTTTGTATAAAATTTTTATTTTTAGTATTATAACCATTAATCAATATTATATGAGAATCTGGTAATTATAGTTCAAATTTATCTTGAAGTTCATGTTCATTATTCCAATTAACTTTTATTGCTCCAGGTTTATCTTGCATTGAGCATTGGAAGTGTACCCATAAAATACATTTTTAGTACAACTGCTATCATGCTGGATGAAAAGAGATCATCCTTGGCTCCATATTGAATGAATGCAGTTTGTTTTATCCACAATAATTACCCTATTATTGGTCTATAAGCTGTGTCATGCATTTTTGCTTAAGAGATTTTTTAATAGACATCTTGATTTGAGACTTTTTTTAAGAGGCAATGCTTGCCTTTAGCATTACTTCACATTATATTCACAGTTTTGATTATGTAATTAAAATTTAAAAAGGTGTTTTTTTTAAACATTTGTTAAGGACTTATCAGTTAATTTTGAATTGTATTAACAAAAGTTAAAAAATAACTAATGTTTTATAATTATGATATGATATGGAGTAAGCTAGCCAGCCATAAAAATTAATCAGCTAGCTAGCCTTGAATGTAACACTTCATGGCTAGAAGGTCTACTTCTGATCATAGTTTGCTCTCTCTAAAACTATTATCTCATTCTTCTTCCTCATCAGAATCCCCCAATCATCGAAACCTCTTACAACTACCTTAAAGCTGTCTGGGACTCTTTTTGTGATTTTCTTTGTGATGGGCGATGGGTAGAAATCATTTGTCTTCCTACTGACAGATGTGTTTTTTATGTAACTTATTGGAATCAAGCTGGCCTGGAATCTTTTATTCCCTCTTGACGATTCTAAGTCAAGCCTCACTCTTCTCCATGGCTTTCCTCTCATTGTACTTCTGCAATTTCCAATTGTAACCATTAGTTCCATATCTATTGCCAAAACAATTCTTCAGAAAATAAATGTCTGTTTACTATTGCTAGAAACCATTATAAAACGTTTTTGCCTAACACCAAAGCCTGCTATTCTCAGGTCACAAAATCTTAAATTTTATCTTAAAAATTAGGCTCCAGAAACTTCTGGCGAATCTTTATCAGTTTCTATAATAAGGCAAATATGTTATTCCTCCTCTCTTGCATATCAGATATCGCTACCTCATCTTAAGACAAAGCTAAATTGAAATGCTAAGAACTTTTCATCAATCTCATCACTTGATTCCACTAATCACATCCTACCTGATAAAGCTGACAAACAGGTTGATCCATTAACTGACACTCCTATCATTCCAGTTTCTGTATCTAAAGTGTTTTCTTACTTAGACTCTTCTACAACGTGTGGTCTGGACAACATACCTGTTATAGTCTTGCAGAAGTGTTCTCCAGAACTGTCATCTATACTTTCAAAACTATTTAAAAAGTGCTTATCAGAGTCTTGTTTTCCAGCCTGCTGGAAAACAAGACTCTGATAAGCACTTTTTAAATAGTTTTGCCTGGCATCTGTTATCCCTATTTTTAAAAATTCTGGAAAGCGACCTGACTCATCTAACTACAGTTCTATTAATCTTGTTCCTATCATAAGTAAGGTTTTTGAGTCTTTAATAAACAAATACTTAATCTCTCATCTTGAATCTAATAACTTTCTGATCATCAATATAGATTCCGATTTTCTTGTTCTACAGCTGATTGATTAACAATAATAAGCCATAGGTTTTATTATGCATTGTGTAGATATGGAGAGGCTAAGGCTACCACTCTCGACATTTGTGAAGCCTTTAATAAAGTTTGGCATGCTAATCTTCTCCATAAGATTAACTGGTTTGGAAAAAGGTCTCACTTATGATGCTGCATTGGCTCTCAGTGGCTGGTGAACTTTAACTCAGATAAAACTCTATTTTTTTCAGTCAATCGTTATCACAACAATCTAGATCTTCCTATATTTATGAACAGTAATGCACTCGATGAGTCATCTACCCTTCATTTTCTAGGATTAACTCTTACTTCTATTCTTTTTTGGAAACCATATATCAAATCGATTACAAAATTAGCATCTGCAAAGGTTGCATCTCTTTAAAGTACTCGTCACTTTCTTACTTTTTCTTTTTCTCTATAACTCTCAAATCCATTGTTGTAAGAAATATTGTTGGCACGTATGGAGCCGATCTTTGAATGATGCCCTTTCTCTTTTAGACAAGATGCAAAAACACATAGTAAACATAGATGGACCTGCTCTTGGAGCCAACCTTCAACCATTATCACATCGTTGTAATACAGCTTCTCTTTCTCTTTTCTATAAATACTACAATGCACTATTCTAAAGAGCTAGCGTCTCTTGTCCTTTTACTGTGTCTGTTCCTAAGTGCTCCAACAATTCTTATTCATTTAATTTTTTCCTCAAACAATAGTTCTTTGGAATTTGCTCCCTTCATCTTATTTTCCGGATTCATATAACTTGTAATCTTTTAAGTTATCTGTTAATCATTACCTTGCTTCTTAAACTTTATCTTTTCTCTTCCAGTAACTTCCAACTCTAATAGTGGTTGCTTGCAGCCTTGTTGAATGTGAATATAATTAATCAAATATAATATTTGATTAATAATGTTATAACTTGTATCAAGGCCTTGTTTGATTAATAATATTATAACTTGATTAATAATATTATAACTATATCAAGGCCTTGTTTTAAATAAAAAATGCTTAATACATTAGATTAACGCAATATTTGATGCCATAAAATTATCTTTATTTTTATATCTTTTAAAGACATTAACTTTTTTAAATTACTGCAATAATATTAATTACTGCAAAACGAGATGTTATTTAACAGCTTTTTTTTTTTTTTTTTAATATTAAATAATTAAATTAAATTATTGCATTTTTAAAAATGTTTGATATTGACAAAATTATTTCTTTTCTTGACATTTGCATGAATGAATTAAAGTATGTTAAATTTTTGAATTTTTAAAATGATTATTTCTTAAATTTCTAAATGCGGCTTTGCAACTAAAAATGACATTTTATTAAAAAAAAATTAGCAAGTAACAAATAAAAAAATTACGTTAATTTATTTACTTCATTTATTAAAAGTTTATGATTTTATTATTATAATTATATTGCTGTATATATCGTTTATCAGAAAATAATCGCTGCGATTTAATTTGCGCTATAAAAAAAAAAAAGTTTAACTTACGCTTTGTGCAAATTTTTGATGCAGCCGTTTATTTAAAATTTAATTTTGAGTAAAAAAAAAAAAATGTTTAGGAAGGAAAACCGAAAAAACAATTGTGATAAAAATGAGCTATTTTTTTAAAGAACAAATAAAATTTCAATATTGAATAAATTAAACCCAAGCATTAACTTAAATTTTAATAAACTTAAACATATTTTTTAAATCAAAATTATAGATTTTTAAAATTTAAATTAAATTATATATTTTTATTAAATTAGTTTTAAATTAAGTCATATTTTTTATCAGATTTAAATTATGCTTTTATGATCTTCAAGATGATGATTGATGATTCAAGCTTTTACGATCTTTGCTTCAAGCTTAATCAATCATTACAGTAAAATTCAATCAATCATTACAGTAAAATAAAAATAAAATATAAATAAATTTTAACTTAACTTGAGTTTTTTTCATTAGTAAGTAGCACTTATATATCAAACATAATTGTCATTCAAACTTTTGCAACAAATATTTTTACATAAACGTCATTTAAAAGTTATGTGACTTTTTTTAAAACTAACTACTTCTTTTATCTTACTGCTTATTGAATAATTTAAAAGTTAAAAAATGATAAAAAGTCGCTTAACCAAAATCGCTTACTGCTTATGTAAAATCACTTTTATGGCGTACGCAAATTGCTTTATGCATAATGCTTTAAAACTATTATATTTATATACTATTTAATTGTATATTATCAAATATAGCTATATACAGCTAAAAAATAAAATTAAAAAATAATTGCAACAAAATGGCTTTTAGCATAAACTCATTTCACTCTAATAATCATGGACATATTTTGCAACAACTAAACTTGTTAGTTTTATAACAACCAAAACCCATTTTGAACATTTCACTAAAATTTTCCCTAGCAACAGATAAATATTTAAACAATTAAAAAACATATTTGTAATCTATATAGGATAGAATGGGGTTAATTAGCTATAGGGGTAAGTAGACATAGAGTAATTAGTTTCAGAGGTTTCCACAAAAAAAGTGATGACATAAAACTCAACTTATTAAAAAAAAAATTAATTATTAAATGAAAAGAAGTAACATCTATCCAACTAGCGGGTAAGTGGCAACTAGCAAGTGGGTAATTAAGAGAAATTAAAGTTGTAGTCTTTCAAATACAACACTTTACACTTTAAAAATTTCTGTACATTAGTATTACCCAAAATTTGAAGAATTAATTCAACTAATTTTTTCATTACATAACACACAAATTGATAAAAAATATACCAAATTTCCAGAGAAGTGTGCGCTGTTCGAATTTACTGTTAAATGTACGAGCAAAAATGTGTGATTTATAAAGGCATTGAGCAAACAAAAATAACTGATCAGAATTCAGGAAAGGAAACATTCCCACGTCGATAAGAGATGTTACATATTCTGCATCAGATGACTAGGGAAAAAAAAAAATCTTTTGTTTCACAATTGCATTGTTTATTATTGCTATTATTATTACTATTATTACTCTCATTAAATAATTTAGATAAAAATATTCTGTACAAAAATATATAATTAAATTATTGAAAAAACTTTGACCTTTCGGTCAAAGTTTTTTCAATAATTTATTTATATATTTTTAAAGAGTAAATTGTATTAAACCTTTGCTGCTGCCATATTTTCTGCATCTTCTCGTTTACTAGTTGCAGGATAAAACACCACATTGTCTATTGTCTGTATAATCTCAAGCTGAACCACACATCGAATAAGCAGAGAGTTAAAGAGGGTTCTATCAGGTGATATACCTTAGAAATTATATGCGTAAAATTTTTACTTGTCATTTTCAAAAAATGCGTTATAATGAGTGATGTAAAAAGTTGCATGAAATTTTATTTTTACATCACTATACAATAAAAAAAAATTAAATTTCACATGACATATGAGTAAGAAAAAAAATTTACTCCTAAATAAATTCAGGAAACGTTCACTGAAATTCCAGAAAAATGTTACTGAATATCTTATTGCATTTTAGGAAAATTTCTATGCATCATTACCTGAAAGAATTAGTGTTTTGAAAATCAAGCATTTATTGCACAAAAACTCAGAATAATAGTGACATTAAAATAACCATGTACTACTTTATAAAATATTTAATAAAAATATATTTTAAAAAATTTGCTTTTATGAAAGATTTTTTATTACTATTAGAAATACAAATTATTATTACTATCAATAAAGTTTCATAAATAGTTTTTTATTTTTGTTTATAATCAATATGGGACACAATAAGTTTAAATAAGCTCATTCAAGCTAATTAGTTTTTTATGCATTCTTTTCTATTAAATTTTACTAAGTATTTTAACAGTAATAAAATTTGAAACAATGGACCAAATCAATTTTAAATAAAATGTTGTACTGATATAAGCATTTTGTAAAAGTTCTGTGTATACAAATCAGAATGCATATAAAAACCTTTATGTTTGATCAAAATATATTTTCTTATAAATAAAAAAAAGTGTGTTTTTCTGAATTGTATACATTAACTTAAAAGATTAGGAAAAAAAGTCAGGAATCTTTTAAGATCAAGTTAAGTTAATATTTTTAAGATCAAGTAAAGGACCCGGGCAATTACTTAAATATTTTTCCTGAATTTATTTTAGAGTATAATAATTTAAAAGGTTAATAACATTACATTATGTAAAGAAATAATAATTAAAAAAAAATCACTTTGTCTTGTAATAGAATGGAGACTTTCTTTGGAATCGAATCTTGACAAATGTGCAGGATACAGTGGAAACTGATGAAGACTTAAGTCATCACCTTCAGTAACATCAGTATCTTTAGGTGTCTCTTGGTATCTTTCTGCAAAAAAAATTAAAATAATTTTGAAAACAATGTATTGGCATTATATTGCGATTTTATCCAATATAATGCCAATCCTAATTTTTTTTTTAGACAAAAAAAAAATTATTATGTATATGTGTTTTTTTTTTTTAAATTCTGTTTTTAATGCATTTATATTGTCAAAAATTCTCACTAGCAAATGCAAAACATAATATTTTTGATAGACGACTCAAGTTATTATAATTTGTGTTAACATTTTAAAATAATCACATAACCTTATACATGTTATATCTCAAACTATTATCTAAGAAATTTTATTGAAAAAACTGTTTTGGTAAACCAAGTTTATAATTAAGTTATGCAGATTTTTTATCTAAGGATCAAACTAGTTGTTAAATCTTCTTTGTTTTGTGAGAGGTAATAAGAATTTAAATGTTGCTAAATGGATTTTTATTTACACAATGACAATATTGGTTCTTCTAAATTGTTCCATGAATATATTTGAAGTAATCCCCATACTACATCAGTTGATATTCCATTAGTTAAACAATATAATTTTATTAGGTTAAGTTATGATAAACCTTATTCTAAGTTAAGTTGGCGTAGTACAGCTAGGCCATCTAAAATTGCTTTTAAATTTCTTCAAATGTTAGCTGGTTCAGATTTTGAAAGTAATACGTCTATGTTGTTTTGTGATATTCTGTCTTGTGAAAAGGTAATATTTCATTGTGCTGCAAATAAGTTTTTGTTGTGCTGTTATGTGTTTCTGAAGTTGTAAAGCTGCAGATCAATTAAGGATGCCCATGGTTGAATTCTGAAAAGCTAAGTTATATGTAATAAGTTATAAGTAAATATGTTCTGTATAATCTTTGTGCAAAAGAAATCTGCACAGTGCATGTCAGTTCATGTTGCTTTATCCAAATGCAAATGAAGCACCATGTTTAGTCTCTCATTTTATGGATAAAAATTTGATAACTTATATTAAAGCGGTTTTTAACAATTTTTGAATTTGGGATCTCAACCCTGAATTTGGTTTTAGCAAAGAGTCTTTTTAGCTGGGAATAAAGTGGGAAGTATATGAAATTTTACTTTGAGTTTGTCAATTTAAATCATCTAGATCTGTGTATGATGTTCATTTGTTTGTATGTGTCAAGGTTCAAACTGTCATGAGAATATTACTTATGCCATCTTCATTAAAAGAATTTATTCATCAGATTTTAAATTAAAAGGAAAATAAGTTGGCTTTAGGTGGAGATTTTCATTTCACCGATGATGCTCTGGGACACCAGGGTTCAGCTGCTAGCTTTCCTTGTTCTACAGACCTAGTTAAAAATTTTCAAGGAGCCATGCCTCAATGCATCATGCACCTGCTAATTGTAATATCTTAAGGAAAACAATACAATCTCTGGAAGAAGCAAAACAAACTTGTGTGAAGATAGACATGGTGGAAACTTAAGAACTCTAATATTTCTATTAAATTAAAATATTTCTAAAAAATTTGCATTTATAAAAGTACAACACGAAGTCTTAGATTTAGTTTCATGCTTGCTTTCCAGAGTACAAATATCACTCAAAAAATGCATGAGCTCATTTTTAATGTATCACATTTTGTTAAACAACATTTGAGTGAAGAGTAGGGAGAACATTTGCATACCTTTGTCTTGTTTGTGGTTGTCAAAATTAATTCAAATATAAATAAACTTTTTTGATCCAAGTTAAATAATATTTTATTATCAAAGGCGAGATAAAGTAAAATCCTCAATTTTTTTAGCATAACTGTATTGAACTTTGTTAAGAGTGTTTTTATCTATTAACGATACTTCCATAATATTATCATAATGAACATGTGTACAAATAATTATAAATGTAGAGATTGATTCACAGAACTAAAGTATCTGAAATACTTAAAAATGGATTTAATTTCCAGATCAACACCTTTGGTTTGACTATTAGTATCTGAATTCACATTAGGTTTAAGTTTTTTGGCTTTTAAATTTAATTTTATATTTATATTATCAAAAATAATCTCTAATATTTTGAAAGTTACATGACATTTATGAGTGGATACCACCCCTTTTCTCCATTTTTTTTTGAAACTTAAAAAAAAAAAAAATACACCATGTGGAAAAAAAAAAAAATGTTAAAATGAAGTCACAGTAGTTTACTTATAACAAAAACCTAAACAAATAAAAACACAGAGCTAAATCCTGAATTGATTAAAGATGAAATTGAAGAGATCAAGTACTTGAAGGAGCATTAAAAAAAATTCTAGCATAAAATATCTTTATTTTATGAAGGGGGCACAGCTAACAAAAAAGGAATGTTAACAAAAGTTCAAAGACTAATGCTTTGGATTGTACCTCAAATTAAAGAATCTTCTGAAATCATGAAACTATTGCTTAACCTAATAAAATTAGGTATGATTCCTTTTGTTTTCATAGCAAATTTTAAATTAATTTTGGTAGTAAATGGTTTGCAAACAGTCACTTTAACAAATCCCTGTCTATATTGCTTTATTAAATTACAACCACTCAAAGTATTAGACAAAAAGAAGGTAGAGAATAGGTGTAATATAAACTGTAAATTTTGACTTTTTTTAAAGCTTTGAACAATTGATTGACAGGTTACAACAGCCATGTTACAAATGACAATTCAATTAAACAATATCTTCCTTTAAGTAAAAGCGCTCACTTGCTGACATCTTCTATCATTCAAATGGCAGTCACTTACATCGTGATTTTTGCACCCATGCCGTTTTTAGATTGGTGAACAATCAGATCCTTTTGGAGGACCTTCTATTTAGAAACCTTTTTCAATATGTACTTCATTTTTTTTTTAACAAAAATGTAAGCATATACTAAAAAAAGTAGATATAAGTATTTTAAATAGAACTTTTGAAAAAATGTTATTTTTAGGGGGTGGACCCCTTTTTTTGTGGAAAGAGGGTTGTGCCCTAACACCTCCTTTCCTCATTGGCGCATCTGCGATCAATGTATACTTGCTATGTTCTACCTTTCCTAAGATTTTGATAAAGATTAGTTAAACGGTATAAAATTTACTAATGTTTTTGTAAATCCAAGATGGCGGTAACTGCTATCTTGGAGTCAAGCCAGTTCTGGTCATGCTACACTTTGCCACCGTATCTTAAAATGATAAGCATAATTTCCTGAATTATTGGTGAAAATTTCATGATTTTATCTTGTGCACCATTCCAGTCATTTTTAATGGTAATCTGCTGCAATATATATATATATATATATATATATATATATATATATATATATATATATATATATATATATATATATATATATATATATATATACAAATTTACTTCTATCAATATAAAGTGTGTAAATTGAAAACATTTTTCACATAATTATTAAAATTAATGTTTTTTAACAAACAAAAAAAACAAAAAAAAAAAAAAGTAATTAGTAAGTAATTTTCTCACCATACAAATAATCATTTGCTTTTTGAGAAGGCTGAAAAAGAAAATTGAAAAATGAAAACCCTATAATAATCAAAATAATTTACTTTTTATTTATAAAAAAAAATTACTTTTTGAGGAGAATAAACCGAGTTGATAACATGCATACTATCAGAATGATTAGAGTCTGGTTTCCAAACTAACAACTCATGTGCTATTGAAGATTCAAACACATTATATATACAATCACATGTTTTTGTCCAAATCTCTGGAGTAAACTTTTGCCCATTAGAAATTATTAAATTTTCTAAGCAATTGACTCCAGAACGTGCAAGTTGCTCATTATCTAAATATAAAAAACATTTTAAAATAGATAATTTATAAAATTGAATAGGATTTATTTAAATAATTTATTTTATTATTTAAAAATACAAAATAATATTAAATTTAAATTATACAAAAATAAAACTTAAAAAACAAAACACCCATTCTATAATTTCCTACCTTGTTGAACACACCATACAAGTTGAGCTAGCATGTTATCTAATAAGACATCTGATAATTCATCAAAATACTGTGTAAAAACATCAACAATTGCATATAGAGCATGGTTACATGTTGTGGTCATCCATTCTGCTTTCTATAAAAATTGAATATATATGTGTGTATATATATATATATATATATATATATATATATATATATATATATATATATATATATATATATATATATATATATATATATATATATATATATATATATATAAGGGTGTCCCTTTTTTATTAATGATTTTGATGATTATTTATATTAATGAATTTTTTTTTTACGGATTTTCAAAATGCATACCCCATATTTTTCTTTAAACTATCTAGACTTACTTAAATAAAAAATTATATCCTCCTACGACAACATTAACGCATACAACAACATTAACTGATCTCTGAAGATTTTGAAAATTACTGTTTTTAACCCTTCCCGTTATATAGCTAAATCAATTGAAACATTTATATTTTATAAGATATTTATTAAAAGAATATAAAATTACAGATAAAGCAGGATATTTTCTTTTAATGACCAAACAACGTAACAAAAGTTAGATATGAGATGCAATTAAAATGTCTCAAATATTTTTTAACGTTACGCTACGTGTTTACACTTTTTAAAAGTTGCACTTTTATAAGTTATAAAAATACCTAATTGAGACATAACTTTAATATTTTCATTTCGTGACAAATTAAAAAAAAACAAAAAACAAAGTTTTATCTTCCTACAACAAAACTAACACATGTTGACGGAACTCAAAAAAGATTTTGAAAACTGCTGTTTTTAAACCTCATTACGTAGCTAAATCAATTGAAACAATTATATCTTATAAAATATTTATTAAAAAAAATATAAAAATACAGATCAAGAAGGATATTTTTCTTTTTTACGGTCTAGGTACAGATTTCTAGTATCTTGCGAAAAGCATAGCAATATTTGCTTTTTTCTCATCCATTGCAGTGATCAAACCATGAAAGTCTTTAATAAGATTTACTCCTCTCTTAGCTGCATCATTTTTTTGCCTCTATATAGACAACATGTTCATCCCACATTGAAACGGGTCTCTGGAGGAAGTTCTCATTAATTTTTAATCAAGAAAATAAATTTATGCTTTTGACAGACACAAAATCAAAGTGCTTGTTTATCCTTGGCACTAATTTTGATCAGGGATTGCAAGAAACATATCCTTAAAGAGTAAATAGCTCTAGCCATCCATCTTGCTTGATGCATTGCTCCAAGAAGTCTGATTGCTTGAATTTTGAAATTTGCAAGAAGTTTGATGCATTGCTCCAAGAAGTCTGCAAAAATAGTTTTTTGGAGTGTAGGGATTCTAGCGATTCTAGGGATTCTAGAGTTTTTTCTCTGGTAGGGATTCTAGCTTTTTACCCAAAATGCACTCTTGATTTTAACTCTTTTTTTAACACTTGTGAATGTTAAAAAAAAAATACAGCAAGAACTTGCTGATTAGACAATAACTTTGCGCCTGTTATTTGAAAATTCACGTCACAAAACTAAGATAATTTTTTTTTTTATTGTTTTCGAATTTTACTGCCATTTCTTAAAAATAAATCAATATGTACTTGTTATAAGAATAAGAAAAACTAAATTTTTCTAAAATTGCGGGTTAGCTTAAAGCAGTTTTTACAATCTATTAACAATTATTGTAAGTAGATAATTATTATCTATTTACTATTATCAATTGGTATCAATTTATCAAAAAAATAATTATCTATTTTTAAAATTGTCATTGTAAAAACCACTTTGAGCATTTTGACAATAACGTGAGTAAGCACAAATATTGCGTTGCTTGTATGAAAATGATTTGATGCAAGTCGGTACGGTATTTTTAAACTAAAACCTATACCTTAGAAAATAAAAACTTTGAAAAATAAGGGACACGCTAATATATATATATATATATATATATATATATATATATATATATATATATATATATATATATATATATATATATATATTTTATATATATATATATATATATATATATATATATATATATATATATATATATATATATATATATATATATATATATATATATATATATGATATATATATATCATTGTAAAACTATTATTTTAACCATGAATTTATTTGCATAATCGAAATTAATTTAGCGTGAAAATAGAACTAGCATTTTCAAATTGTTGTTGGTCAGATTTTATACTTTACAAAATATATTTCAAGAAAATAATGAAAGAATTTTGGCAACTTTCATGTAATGTAAGTTAACAAAAACATGATAAAGTTTTTTTTTTTTTAATTTAGTTAAAAAACATAAGTTTTTAAACTATATATGCGAAAGAATATTAAATGCATTTTTATTTTAAGTTTGTGTAATGTAATTTAAAACTACATACATTTACTAAAGTTCTGGCGCTTTTTTGTTAACAAAGTAAATTATGTTATCAAGTAATTCTTATTTTGTTCCGTTGGTTTGACAAGGTTCTAACTGAAACTTTTTATATAAGGAGAATTTAGATTTTTTACCTTTTTTAATGTTAATTAAAATTATTTACATTATTGTTTTTTTATTTGTTTATGTACTCTTATTTTGGTTGACATATAAATATACATAAATGAATAAAAATAAGAATTATATAAATATTTTTATTTTGACACTAGGAAAATAAGACAACATGTATAAATGTAAGAAGTGTAAGTAAAAACTTCGACAAACCTTTTTCTTATTTAAACGAATGAAAGTATTAATAGAGTTAAATTAATAAAGTAATAAAAGTTTTAAAGTTGCTCTTGATCTTGCGAAAAAACTGTCATTGATAACTTTCATAAATGTTATGAAAAATCACTTTTTTTTGAACCAACAGTTTTTTAAAATTTTCTTTATTAATTATTTTTAATTATTGAGTTCAATACTTTTGCAATTCTTTTGTTACATAACTCTAACTCTTAATAATAGACATAAAAAATCCACTATAATTATTGGTAACGTAAGTTAAATATATAATATCAAAAAGAACAGTTTATTTTCCTTAGTTGATCACCTCAGACAAATTTTTATATATTTTTTACATGGGTATAGAATTCTCAACATCTTGTGAAAGTTTCTAATACAAACTGCTTTACTGATTTGCAGAAATCTAACCTAAAAATTGAAGCAATATTTTCACCTTGTTTTCTGTGTAACGTAAGTAAAGTGGCTTTTTCAGTAATAAGTTTGTCCTCTTTTGTCCAGACTCAAAACTTTTTAGCTTATTTTGTTCTTTAGACTAACAGCTTTCATACAAAATAGCTGAAAGTTTAATTTACAGTTTAAATAGGCAAATATTTGATAAAGTTGTTGCACATGTAAGTAATTAAAAATGGAATTGCCCATATATATATATATATATATATATATATATATATATATATATATATATATATATATATATATATATATATATATATATATATATATATATTCATATATTGCATGTTTAGATAACATGTCTGATGTCATACTGAAAAAGCCTGCTGCCAGGGGATTCAGTATACATACATACTTCTTATACATCGATTTACTAAATAAATTAAACATGCAAGAAGTGCCGCTACATTAACTAAGGGTTTAGGCTGGGGAAACAATCCTCTTATACATTCTTTATTTTTTCTCAAAAAGCCAAAATTTACCCAAAAAGGTTGACATTGTATATGTGAATATATATATATATATATATATATATATATATATATATATATATATATATATATATATATATATATATATATATGCCAAACGTTCGGTTCGGCCGAACCTTGACAAAAGTTCGGCCGAACATTTGCTAAAAATGCTAATTTGGAAATTAACATCATCAAATCATCATAACTCAGCCTAAATACTTACAGTACTAATAGATATGGCTTTTTATTGAAAACCCGATTCTTATCTACTACGCATAGTAGGTAAGAATATGTTTTTCAATAGAACACATGAGTACGTTAAATTTATATCAAGTTTTTAGAATTTAGAACAAATTTAATTTGATCACATATATTACTTAAAACCAAATGTATTACATAAAACTAGTTTACTTTATTTAGAAATAATAATAGTATAAGTGTAAAATGAAAAATCCTTTCAATTGAGCAATATTTTAGTCAATTTTATCCTTTTATATACAATAATAATAATAATTAAACTTAACTTAAGTTACAAAATTCAAGCAAATTTTTTATTTTGGAAAAATCGCAAAAATGTAATAATATAAAATAAACTTTAAAAAGAAAGTTGCTCGTAATTTGGCTACTCAACTAGTTGAACTGAGAAAATTATTTGAAAGGAATATACTTAAGGAAAAATGTTATTGTGGTGATCAAAAACATAAAAATGCTGCAACAAGCTAAAATATCCTTAACAGATTTTTGCGACAAAATTGAGTCATGTATACATAACTGTATTGTATGGCATTGACCTAAAACCACTGTCTTTTACACCAGCTACCATATTGGTGGCATTATCTCATAAAACAATATGAACTTTTGTGTGTGGAATTTCAAAATGCTTATGCTTATGTCATATGTTAATAATGCTTATGCTTATGTTATAAGTATGTCATGCTTATGAAGAGCCAGTGTGCTGTCATGCTTATGAAGAGCCAGTGTGCTGTCATGCTTATGAAGAGCCAGTGTGCTGTCATGCTTATGAAGAGCCAGTGTGCTGTCATGCTTATGAAGAGCCAGTGTGCTGTCATGCTTATGAAGAGCCAGTGTGCTGTCATGCTTATGAAGAGCCAGTGTGCTGTCATGCTTATGAAGAGCCAGTGTGCTGTCATGCTTATGAAGAGCCAGTGTGCTGTCGTGCTTATGAAGAGCCAGTGTGCTGTCATGCTTATGAAGAGCCAGTGTGCTGTCATGCTTATGAAGAGCCAGTGTGCTGTCATGCTTATGAAGAGCCAGTGTGCTGTCATGCTTATGAAGAGCCAGTGTGCTGTCATGCTTATGAAGAGCCAGTGTGCTGTCATGCTTATGAAGAGCCAGTGTGCTGTCATGCTTATGAAGAGCCAGTGTGCTGTCATGCTTATGAAGAGCCAGTGTGCTGTCATGCTTATGAAGAGCCAGTGTGCTGTCATGCTTATGAAGAGCCAGTGTGCTGTCATGCTTATGAAGAGCCAGTGTGCTGTCATGCTTATGAAGAGCCAGTGTGCTGTCATGCTTATGAAGGCAACATTTGAACTATTTGCTGTCCAAATGTCAGTTGTTGTCAGTTGAGATATGAATGGCAGCAGATATATTACTCTTGATAGAACTAAATAGTTTATTATGTATTTGTGGAATATTGTTTTCACTAAAATATCTCCTACTAGGTATTTGATAATTAGGACACAGCTCTTCAATTAATTTTCTAAAACCAAGATCTTCTACAATCGAATATGGTTGAATGTCCAACATCATCATTTCTCCAATGTGATTGTGAATTTTGATAGCTCTATGATCATTTACATCAGCTTTTTTTTATTTAGACTCTCCAGTAATGGTAATTGTTTTTTTAATTCAGAATCACTTGATGTAGAGGCTGTAGTTGATGTAGATGTTTCAATTTTTTTTTGTCAGACTCTTTTTCAGCTATTTTATATTCTGCAAAGTGCTTGTTTTTAAATGACGTCTAATTGCACTAGTGGTGAATGTTTTAGGACAATTCCCACCTCTAGAAAGTAATGCTTTGCATAGCAGGCAAATACAAAAATGATTTTGAAACTTTCTTTGAAACTTCAAAATATTTCCAAACAGTACTTTTAAATTTTATTTTTGAAGACATTTTTTTATACTTCTAAATAATTAAAAATATATACTAATTATAAATAAAGTTTAACCAAAAAATATAATCTTAAAACATGCCAGATACTAGGTTTTAATATCTTATGTTATACCTTTATTTTTATTAGCTAACTTTTATATTTGTAGAATAGAGTATAAACTAAGCTTTAATGCTAAAAGCATATAAGCTAAGCTTTTACTATAGTCTACAAATATAAAAGTTAGCTAAATAGCTTAACTTTAAGCCTTAACATTAACAATTAACTATTAATATAAACCCTTAACGTAAAATATTATTTTAAGAAGTTTAATTTATAAATTACAATATAATTTTATTATATTATAATTGTTAATTATTTATACTCATTATTAATAAGTTATACTCATTATTAATAAGTCATACTCATAAATTTCTTTTTTCTTTTTTCAAATGAAAACTTCTTAACATTTTTACTTCTTTACACTACATTCTAGTGTAGTGACTACAAACAATCATCCAATAATAAACTTACTTTTGATAGTTATTTAAAGTTTCTTCAAATTTTTTCAAAATAAATCTAATGTTTTAAAAAACACATTAAATTTAAAAAAATATAGTTTTCACTTCGAATTCAAAATGTTTTTGACGTAAACCAATGTTTATATTTGAAAATAGCAAAAGTTTGGTATTCGGTCGAACTTTAATGGCCGAACATTCAGATTCGGTGTAAGGCCAAAAACCGGGTTTGGTGCATCCCTAATTAAAATACTAAATTTGAGATAAAATCACCTAACTAATTAGTTTAACAGCAAATAAATATCTAACAAAATGAAACAAGAAGTTTCAACTCAACTGAATAATTTGGGATGGTACAAATGTTGAAGCAAAATATTTTTTTGGTATAGCATTCTACTTCATTTCAACTAATGAAGTAGAATGCTATATCCAACTTCCTAGCAATTACATATTGAGAGTAGTCAAATAATTCAGAATATTTTAAATATTATAAGTATTTAGAAGTGTTTGAAACTTAACATTAAAAAAATGCATTTAATGTTTTTTATGTATAAATTACATAAAAATTGTAACAACTTAGGTTATAGTAACAAATTAAAAATAGATGTGCAAATTTAAAAAAATACTTTTTGCTTTGAATGCAAAAAAACACATGACATGTATGCAAGAAAATATGCAACTTTATATTCTAATGGCAAAAAAAAGCAACTAAAAAATGTACTTTTAGTATAAAATGTTTAATAACAAATTAACCTTATTTTCTGTTTTTTTACTATTTAAAAATATATATATCCAATTTATTTACTACTCTATAGTGTCTTAAAACAGCTATATATAAAAAAAAAAAGTTTATAAAAGTTTATAAAAAATTTATAAAATCTAACCTCTGACCATTCAATTTGTTGATCTGGCAGTTTCATACTATCAAATATCCTAAAAACAACTTTAAAAACTTCTTTCCACCAACTTTTTTTGTATGTATGACCATAATTTTTAAGGATTTCAAACATAACTGTTAATGCTCTAAAAATCAAAAACAAGGTTTCCTTCAGCAACTTATCATTAAAAGAACATAAGCATTAGCAATTTGTTATCAAAATAAACATTAATCATCAAAACAAAGTGTACATTTGCACTTGTAAAAAATAAAAAACATTAATTAATCATTAAAACAAAGTGTATATTTGCACTTGTAAAAACTCAAGAACTAAGAAAGCACATTTCTATAAAATTTTTCAAATATAAGTTCGTTTTATTAAAATTGAATAAAAATAATAGTTTTATGAAAAACAATTATTTTCGAAATTGTATTAAAATTAAAAAATTGTAATTGTATAGAAATCTCAAAATTAATAATTGTTTTATAAAAAACATATTAAAAAAAAAAATTATAAAAAACTTGTAAAAAAGCACCTTTTTTACAAATTTTTTATTACAACTTTTAGATAAAAAAAAAGCATCTTTTTTATGGGGAAAAAAATACAAAATTGAAAAAATTGATTTTTATGAAACAATTTTTATTTTCAAAATTTTTGTAAAATTTCTCTTCATTTGAGTATCAAGTTGTTTTACTTTTAAAGAACTTTTTTTTTTCAAAATATTTGGAATCCTGGGGCAACTTTAAAATAATCTTTTATCAAAAAAAATTTTATTTCCAGAGTTATTAAATTACATAGAATAAATATATAGGTAGTGAAAGGGAATTTTTGAAAATTGATGTTTTTCAGCCCAACATATTGTACATAGATATCTTATATATACACACTTACTTTTTCATCTTATATACACACACACACACACACACTTATTTTTGTGTATTTAGAAAAATACACAAATGTTGATTTAAAAACAACTTAAGTCTATACAATTTTTTATACTTAGACAATGTAATGGCACTCCATTGCATGCTCTCCCTAGATAGTTTTTATATGTGCTGAAGAACAATTTATATTGCCGTTACATTATTATGAAAATTTTTTTTTTAAAGTGTTGGGTCTCGAAGCAAAATTATATGAAAACTTCAAAAATGATATTACATAAATTTTTTAAACCCAGTGTTACATCATTATAAAGAACACATTTATATTTATGGTGTTATACTGAAATAGCCTGCTGCCAGGGGCTTCAGTACATACATCAACTATCTTATAGCCTGCTGCCGCAAAGGAGTGGTGCTACATTGACTGAGAGTTTGGGATGGGGCATCAATCTATTCTTTCATTATTCTTTATTTTTTTTTTTTTTTTTTGAAAACGCTGTATGAAATAAAGGTAAGCTAGTAAAGCAATTACTGATCTATATACATTATAGTAGATATATCAATAAAAAGTTGTCTATTAATTTTGAGGGGGGAAGGGGGGTTAAAGTGTAGCCTGTTCAGTGACCTCATCATAACTCAGTCGTTTATGTCCAGAGGACAAAATTCTAATTTTAATATGCTTTCTAAACATATTTCAATCAGTATTCTAAAATTTCTATTAAAAAGACTAACACAGTTATTTAATTTTTTAATGACCTATTGAATTTTAATTCACTATTCAACATTAAATAGTCTTTAGAAATGACGAATTTCTTATTAAATCTTCAAGGGTCTTAGGGGACCCCTAAAAATATTTTTTATTTTAAAAAGATTAATGTTAAATTAAATCTAAAGTTTTTCAAAACATTTTATATACATTAGTGATCATTAAAAAACAATAATAGTGGTCCTTAAAATAGCAAACTTAAAATTAAAATACAAAAATAGTGGTCTTTAAAGTAGCTTAAAATTAAAATTTAAGTATAATTCTAACCTTGTTCTAACATCTAACTTGCATCTGTTTATGATACATGATAATTCAAATACAACTGGGAACCAACCTCTTAGCCAAACTCTATCATTTTCTGAAACTACTGTATCATCACTAAACCGTTCTTTAAACATCTAAAAAAAAAAAAAAATGCTTTATCCATCCAAATATTGCCCTTATTTAATAAATAAATATTTAAAATATTGTGCTTTGTGTTTTGCATTTGCTATAGATTTCTGCACCAAATAAAAAATTGCTTTTTAAAAAATAATTATTTGATAATCATACTCTAATGAAGCCTCCATTTAAAGTCTTTGAGAATTAATGCAACAATATAACCATGAAAAATTCTCAAAAAGCTAAGACCAGGTCAGGTCAGGTTCAGGATCATCACGATTAGCCTGCTACTGGTATCATGATACCCAGTACTACCTGCACCATGTCTTGCTGCCTTGTAGGGTTTGCTTTTTTAGGCAGGCTTAGAGAAATAAACTCTGACTTAAAATTCTCCTGTTATGGGGCTATTGAATAAAAGCTAGATGGTGTCTCAATAAAAATATTCATCTCATTAACTGCATCCAACTACTGTCTAGTATGTCTCCTAGGCAAAGACTTTAGGGGTAAGCAGAATAATTTTGTTGACCCTTGCACCATGTTTGTTCATTTATTGACTGACATTGATGTAAACCTGTGTTACATTGTTTCCTGCTTAGGATGATGAATCCTGAATCTTCTTGACTCTACTCATAGATTTTTGTTTGTACCTTTTTGGTAGTGGCTATGCAACTTCCTGTTATCTCCTAATGAGGGAACAGCTCTAAAATTTAATTCAATGGTTCTGAAGCAGACTGGTAGTAAGTTTTACTGAATTCTCTGGTAGCTCTCAGAGGACAATTTCATTGACAACTGTAAAATATCTAAGTATTAAAGGGATCCCAAACTCTCGACACATGTTGTGTTCATAATAAAGATAATTTAAAAAAAAAAAGATTTGAACCAAGTTTTTTTGATTAAAAATAAATAATGAATGCATACCAAGAAAAACTAACATTGTTGTTTTAGCCGAAGCTCGCCTTCTCCATTTTTTTCAATAACTCGGAGTCTTTAAATTATACGCCACAATCTACAGACTTTGGCGATTCCTTTGAAGCGCGTTTAATTCATAAAAGTTTTAGTATTTGACGTCACAGTAGACTTTTAACAAATGAAATATTTTTATTTTTATTCAAACTTTTTTTGGTTATTTGTTAAGTTTTTTTTTTCCTATTTTTAACATTTAAAAAGATATTAAAAACCTCAAATATTTTATGCTGGTTCGTTGCTATAAATTGTTATTGCGCCATATATTTAATGTTTATAAATTATGAATATCTATTATTTCAATCAAGACTCTCATAAAAAATTGTTTTACATTAATTACCCTTATAAAATTAGTAAAAGCATTTTTATTTGGTTAGATAATATTTTGCCTCCATTTGCTTTGCATGAAGTTTGGGAAGTCAAGCGAAAAAAATTAGTTTGAATAATCACTTTGAAATATATTTAAAACAAATTATTTTAATGACGGGGGTTTAAAAGTATTTTATAGCAAATGTAGGTAAAAAATAAATAATTAAATAAAAAGTTCAACATTAAACATCATTTCTTTATTATTTAGCAACTGTAAATATTGAAATATTAACTTGAACTAAATTTACTTATTATTTAGAATGACTAAACAATAAAAATAAAATTATGCGATATTGTGTTGTTTATTTGATAATTGTTATTGGTAATGTTGTTTATGTTGATTATTTTCATTAATATCAAAATAGTCCCAGATTAATCTGTTAGTTGCTTTGCTCATTGTTGATTTATTTCTAATTTAATTTTATCTCTAAATATAAATTTATGTTAAGAAAGAAAAGTTTTTATTTCATCGCTCGCTCTTTTTATAAAAGAGTAGAACAAAAGAGAAAGAAAAGTTTCGCGTAATTAAACTTGAATAAAGAGTTGTATAGAATTTTTTTTTTTTTGCGATGAGAGTTCTTTTTTTAGATGAGAGAAATAAAAGTTTAATAGTAACTTTTCTTTGAATAAATGAAAATTGGAAGAGAAAATTGCTTGAAAATTTGTATTTGTTGTGTTTTAAAATTTTAAAAATTTTTCATGTTAAGAGACAAATGCCAAATAAGGCTGTGCGGTTAACCGAACCGAACCACTCTTTCGGTGTAAACCGAAACAAAAAAACCGAATCTAAAATAGTCCGCCAACAACTTGCTGTGAAATTAAAACAAATGTTGCGGACCACGACTAAGTAAGATTTTTTGAGTGTAAGTCTTGTAAAATGTAAGTATTGTATAAGCTTTTTCTAAAAAGCTGCATTTTTTATTTTAATTAAATTCCTAATATTGTTTATAATATTTACCTTATAACATTGTTATTTTGAATTTTTTTTTCTAAACTATTTTCATTGTATAAATAATAAAACTGATATAATCAAAAAAAAATGTTTAAATATTATTAAGCCTTTAGCCTAAACTTTAAGCTAAAAGCTTAATTTAATTATTTAACGTCTTACATGCTCCTAAAGTTTATGAGCATGCAAGACATAAAATAATTTAATATTAGCATTGTACCAAATAATGTTCTAAAAATAACTAAAATACTTTTTGAGGATTTTGAAAAATTCTTAAGTTAAAGTTATTTATGTTGTTATCTGGTATTATACTTTTTCAAAATTAAACTTTTATTTATGTTTATTTATGTTTATTATATGGTTTGGTTGTCTCATTAATCATTTTTATTTTATTTACATTAAAGATGCCGAAAGAAAGTGATATTTGGAAATTTTTTGAAAAGTCAAGTAAATTTGAAGCAAAATGTAAAATTCGCTTCAAATCTTATAAAATAAACTGTGGCAGTACTTCAACAATAACCAGTTACGTCAAAACTAAACATGAAGCATCTTGGAAAGAACATGTTTTAAAAACTACCAAGATACTTAATAAACAAAAACTTTAAGAAAAAGAGACAAAAACAACTACAATTGAAAGTTGCATTATAAAAAACCAAAAATATGGGTTAAATGATCCAAAGCAATTAAAGTTTGACTTAGATTTAACAAAATTTATATGCAAGCTTGGTCTACCTTTTGAAATTTTAGACAATGAAGGAGCACAAGAGTTTATTGATGAAGTAAATTGCAAATTTACTGTAGAATCTGCATCAACATTTAGACGCCAAAAACTTCCTATGTTGTATGAAAAGGTAAAGGAGGGGTTGCAAATAAAAATTTTCAAAGATTTTCCAGAAGTAATTGGAGTTAGTTTTACAACAGATCTCTGGACAAGTCGAAACAATGATTCTTCATAAGTCTTACAATTCACTACATTAGCTCAGACTTTAATTTAGAAAGTTTTTAATTGCTTGCGCACCATTTACTGGTAGACGCACTGGGGTTGCTATTGCAGTAAACCTGGACCCTTTTATTGCTAATTTAAACTTAAATGAAGAAGTTCATCGAGCTTGCGTTAATGACAACGGCAGCAACATTGTTTTAGCTGCTAAAGAAAGTAATGAAATTAATTCAGAATTGCGCTGCAATGATCACACAATCCAGCTAATTATTCTAAAAGCAATCAAAATTTCAATTGAACTTTGTAAAGCAATAAAAAAATGTACAGATTTAGCATATCACACACATAGAAGTGTGCTCTCTACAACCAAGCTTCAAAATGCTTGTGAAGAACTTGGAATAAAGCCCAGGAAATTGATTGTTTCATGAACAACACGATGGAATTCTGATTACATGTGCATAAATTCAGTTCTTAAAGTCAAAGATGCAAAAACTCTTGCAAAAACCAAAGATGCAAAAACTCTTGCAAAAACCAATGATGAGTTTGAAAGGTCATGTCCCTCAGATGATCAATGGAAGGCATTAGAATACAGCATTCCATTTCTTGAAAAAATTTACAATATTTCAGTAATCTTATCAGCCGATAAAAGACCAACAATCCAAGATGTGATACCTGAATTATATTCCTTGCACCAAGAGCTTCTTTCCCATCAACATCACAAACACAAGCCAAAAAGAACATTTATAAAAATGCTGATTTGTGAACTGCATGAAAGATATCCTCTTTATGGTGCTGAGCAGCTGAGTAATTGTTTTGCAAATTTTTTAGACCCACGTTACAAAGGCCTGCATTCGATTAAATATAAAAAATATGATGAAATAAAAGAAGCCATATTGACTCAGGAAAAAGAGAAAAAACATGAAAATGCTTTAATAAGTAGCAGCAAAACTGACAATGAAAGTGACGAAAATGTTAATCACCACAAACTACTTAGAAAAAGACTTAAACAAGATATTTCAGCACGCAGTGCTTCAACAATGAATAAATTGGGTTTAGAAATTGATCATTATTTAGCAGATGAAACAGCTGAAGTAACAACAAATATTTTAGAGTGGTAGAAAACTATGACGTTGCAGTTCCAATTTTATCAAACTATGCACGAAAATATCTTTGTATACCAGCAACTTCTGCAACTTTGGAGAGGGTTTTTTCTACTGCTGGTAACGTTGTCACTGCCAGAAGAACTACTTTAGCGGTTGAAAATGTTGAGAAAATGTTGAGAAAATATTTAATTTTCTTTGGTATTTAAAAAGTTTAAACCAAACCGAAAAAAACCGAATCCTTACTTTTATTTTTAAGACCGAATCAAAAAAAAACCGAACTGAAAAAAACCTTAACCGCGTGGCCTTAATGCCAAATACGATACAAATTGGGAAGTACCAAATATAATATGTTTTTTAACGCGCGTTATGACATTTTGACAATTTAAATTACCATTTATCTTGAATTATTGCCATTAATTAATGTGTTAAACTATTGCGTTGTATAATAATAATTTGTATGTATTTTTGTTAAATATTAGTTGTATAAAATGGGCGAAAAATATACAAACTTCATGTTTTTAATTTGATGGTTATAAAATATTGAACTGTAAACTTATAATCAAAATTTATAATGCCGACTTGTGTTGTTATTAATTGTACTTTTAATGCAAAACCAGGATCTCACTATCCTTTCACGAATTTTCATATCTGATACTACTGTCAACTGTATTGTTTAGTGTATTCTTGTACTTTTTTTTCATAACCTTAACAGGTTCTAATTGGTATGGAATTGCCGGCATTTTAAAAGTTTCATTATCAAAAATAAAATGTAAAATAAAATGATATTTCCTTTTTATCCATATCCAATTCAGTAATTTAAAATAAATCAACATAATCAAAAAATTTTTATAATACAAAAAGTTAACAATTCATCAAATATCTGTCAGTTTATGAAAGTAATTGTAAATAAATACTTTTTTTCGACGGGAAAACAAAAAAATCATATCAGCGTAAAAATAATCAGAAGTTAGAAAAAAGTTCCCATCATTTAAATAAAAATAAGATTCAGAATATATAATACTGTGCTCTCTTGCACAAAAAACGAGAGACCGTATACATAACATTCTATATAATGTAAAATACTCATATGAAAATCATAAGATTCGTAAGTAAAGCTTTAATATTTGTTTTAATTTAAAAACAAAAGAATTATAAGTAAGATATATAAATCTAAAAATTATTAAGATATTGGTAAAAAAAAGTTCCTCCTATGAAATAAAAAGCTTTTAATATTTTTGATTTTTACAAAAATTTGTTGTAAAAGTTGTTTTGCTGTATGTTAAAAAATTTTTTTTTGAATTTTTTTTTTTTGTTATTTCACCTCCTCAAGGCCGAGAAGGCCACTACAGACAAGGAGGCTACTTATTTGTGGTTATATAACCCTCTCTCAACTCTATAACTCCGAAACACAAACCTTGACAAACAAGACCGTTGCGCAGAGAAACAAGTTGAGCGCGGTACTACTAGGGATGTGGTGGAGATTGAACTTCGAACCTCTTGCTTATGAAGCGAGTGCTCTACCACTACACCACTACCGCATGTAGTGTGTTAAAATATAATAGAATAAAATAAAATATAGTAGAATTAAAATATAAAAACGCAGCTTTGTTTAATTACACTTTTCTTTTGTTAAAAATCTACCGTGAAGTCAAATGCTAAAACTTTTATGAATTAAACGCGCTTCAAAGGAATCGCCAAAGTCTGTAGATTGCGATGTATAATTTAAAGACTCCGAGTTATTGAAAAAAAAGGCGAGCTTCGGCTAAAGCAACAACATTAGTTTTTTTCAGTATGCATTCATTATTTATTTTTAATCAAAAAAACTTGGTTTAAACCTTTTTTATTAACCAAATATATTAAATTTAAAAAGTCATCTCCACCAAATATTATTTTTTCAATATATCTTTCACAAATATTTGTGGTCTTTGAAGTAACTTTTCATTAGATGAATCTTAACTCTTGCAAAATTCAACAGACTTGCTTGCTCCTTGTAAGACTAATTAGAACTTGGCTATTTCTTCTTCAGATCTTAGTATTGATGGCTACTAACCTTTGATTTGCAAAGACTCCAATAGTCAAATGGTTGGCTTGGGTATATAAGGTAGTCTGTGGCTAATTCGAATGCAGGGATAATCTAAACAGTTTATTTTTTCTAACCTATTTTATGTATTATACAAAATTAAGTATCAAATGCTGATTAAACTTGTTCTATATAAAGTATAATTGTGGAATCACAATATATGATATTTATACTTTTGAAAGCACAACAGTTTTGGAAAATAAATCCGTATTCGCACAAATTTTTTTGAAACCCTTCAAAGAGTTTATGTTAAGTATAATTTACTTAATAATTCTGACCGATGTTATAATTTGGATGAGACCGGATTTTCTATCAGTGAAGGAAATAAACAGTTTTTTTCAGACGCGGGTTATATTTCACTCCTAACTTAAACGCTTCTTGTGGAAAAACTATGTTTTCTGAATTAATATTTGGAAACACCACTGGTTTTCTTATGCCACCTTTTGTAGTTTATAAGGGCAAAAAAAAGATAAACCTTTAATTCAACCTTTAATTTATGGGATGATTAAATTAAAATTAAAGATTGAATGCTTGACTTATCTTTGTTAATGACTATTTGCAAAAGAACTTTTCCTCTAATTCGACTCTTAAATCTAATGATTTTTCTAATGAACTTTTCACATCGTAAGATTGTAAAGTTGCATCTCTTTTTCTTTTCTACAAATATCATCATAGTAACAGCTCAAAGAAGCTATCATATCTAGTCCCATCAACCAAAACACATTCCTGCTGACTAGTCTTTCTGCAAACATCCTTTTACTGTACCTTTCCCTGCATGCTCTAAAAACTTTTAAAAAATGAAATAAAAAAATGTGCAACATCAAAACTAAATTATTTTGTACATTTTGTAGCAAATTATATGTTTTTAGGTCTTAATTGTAAATTCAAATTCAAGATTTTGAGAATAAGAAGTTTACTTACATATGGATTTTCATAAACATGTTTAGAACAGTGTCTAATCAAACGAATTGCTTCCATACTTGTGTCAGGAAATGCAGCATTACAAGAAAACTCAGACAAACACTTTACAGCATCTTGAAACGAGTCAACAGTAGCAGAAAAATGGCTTTCAAAAATGGATGCTAAAAAAACATTTAAAATTATTAAACTA